ATATATTATATAATATATATAGAAATATAAAAATATATATCTAAAATAAATAATATATATATATATATAAATATATAAAATATATATATATAATAAAAAATATATATATAATATATAAATATATATATATAAAAAATATATATATATATAAATATATATATAAATATAAATATATAAATATAAATGAAATAAAATAAAATATATATTTATATATATATATATCAATATAATATATAAAAATATATAATATATAAAAATAAATATATATATATAAATATATATATATCAATATATATAATATATAAATATATAAAATATATATAAATATAAATAATATATAAAAAAAAAAATATAAATATAACTAAATATATATATAAATATATATATATAAAATATATATATATATAAAATAAATAAATAAATATAATATATATATATATATATATATAATATATATATATAAAATAATAAATATATAAATATATATAAATATATATATATTATATATAAATATTATATATATATAAATATATATATATATATATATATATAATAAAAAAAATATAATATATACATATATATAAATTAAATATATATTATATAAAAAAATATATAAATATATTATATATATAAATATACTAATTATATATAAATATATATTATATATAAATAAAAATATATAAAAAATTAAAAAAATATATATATAAAAAAATAAATATATTATTTATATATATATAAATATAAATAATAATATATTAAAAATAAAATATATATATATAATATATAATAAAAATATATATAATATATATATATAATATATATATATATATATAAAATTAAATTATAAATATAAAAAAAAAACAATAAAAATTATAAGATAATATCAATATATTAAAAAATATATATATATAAATAAATATATAAAAACTATATATATATAAAAATAAATAATATATAAATATATATAATATATAAAAAAAAAAATATAAATAAAAAATTATATATATAAATACTAAATAAAAATAAAAATATATATATAAATAAAAATATATATATAATAATATATTAATAAATAAATAATATAAAATATATAAAAATATAACAATAATATACTAAAAATATATATATATATATATATAAAATATATATATATAAATATATAAAAAAATAATATATCATAATATATATATTAATATATATAAATAAAAAATAATATAAAAATAAAAAAAAAGGCAATATATATATATATATATATATTATATATAAATATATATATTAAATATATAAAATAAATTATATATTAAATAAAAAAATATATAATATATATATTAAAAAAAATTATATCAATATATATTCTATATATATAATATAAATAATATAAATAAATTAATAACAATAATGATATCTATAAAATCATATAAATAAATATAAATAATATATATATATATAATATATATATAAAAAAAATAAATATAATATAACTATATCTAAAATATATAATAATAAATACATAAATACAATATATAAAATAAATATAATAATTATATAAAAAAATATAAAAAATAACAAATATTCAAATAAATATATATATAAATATAATCTATAAATATTAACTAACTATAAATAATATATCTAAATAATAAAAATATATCTTATATATAAAAAAAAAATAAAAAAAAAACTTATAACAATATAAAATATATATAAAAATATAATAAATATAAATATATAAATTAAAAAATAATATATAAAATAACAATCAAAATATATAAATAAATATACTATATATCTAACAATATCAATTATAAATCTATCTATAAATATATATTAAATATATATATATATATATATATATATATATTAAATATAAAAAAATTATAAATCAATAAGAACATAAACATATAAATCTATATAAAAATAAATAAATCTAAAACAATATATATAAAAATACAACCCTATAATATTAAAAATACATATAAAAAAATTATAAAAACATATATATATATATATAACAATCAATATATAAAAAAAAAAAGATTAAATAAACCAAATATAAATAAAAAAATATAATATATAAATTATAAAAACAATATAAAATATAAATCATTATATAAAAAAATATAACTATATAATATATCATTATTATATACATAAATAAATAAATAAAAAAAATAAAAATAAATAAAAAATATTAAAAAAACAAAAATAAAATAAATAAATATATAAAAAAAAATATCACACAAAAACTCTACTATATAAAAATATAATTATCAAAAAACATAAATTATTAAATATATATCAAAAATATATAAATATAAAAATATATATATATAAAAATATACATAAATATAATCTTAATTATACATATATATATATAAAAATAAAACAAATAAAAAACAAAAATATATATATAAAAATAACATATATATAATATATAATATATACATATATATATCTATAATATATAAAAATAAAAATAAAAAAATATTTATATATAATGAATATAAAAATAAAAATATATACAATAAAATATCAAATAAAACATAAATATAATAATATACAAATAATCTAAATAAATATATCTAAAAAAAATATATCAATCAATAGAATCACTAGAAAATATAATATATAAAAAATAAGAAAAATATATAAATATATCAATAAATATATTATAATATAGTAAATATAATATAAATAAATATCCTATATATTTAAAAAAGTATATAAAAACAAAAAATAATAAAAATATATAAATATATATAATATAAATATAAATATAAATAAATATATAATCAGTGTAAATATAAAATAATATCTATATATATAAAAAATAATAAAAATTTATAATTACTAAAAATATAAATATATAAATAAAAATAAAATAATAAATAAATATATAAATACACATATATATATATCTATACATAAAATATAAATACATAAAAAAAAAATCATAAAAACATCAAAAATATATCAACATCTAATCTATCTACAATATCAATATACATCATAATATAAAACATAAATATAAAAAAATACAAATAATTAAAAAAACATATATATATAACATATAAAAATACAAACATACATATAGATAATATAACTAAATAATAAACATATATATAACCATATATAATAGTACCAAACATACAAAAATAGATGAAAACATATATATAAATACCAACATAAAAATATACATCCATATAATATACAAAACAAATAAAAATAAACAGATATATATACATAAAATATATAAACAATAAAAAAACATAAAGATTGACATACAATATATAAACATACATATAAATAAATACCAATAAATAAAAAAACAAAATATATATATACATATATATATTATACATAAAAATATAAAAAATAAACATATAAAATTATTCATACATATAAAAATATCACAAATAAATTACATACATATATATAACAAATATTATACATATACCATAAAAATTGACAAATATATATACAAAAAAATATACATATAACTGTTATACGATATATAAATACATATATATATATATATATATACAAATTATATAAACCATGATATTATAGAATACAATATATATACAAAAAAATATACATATACATATTACCTATATAAAATAAATAAACATATACAAATAACCATATATATACATAAATATATACATATATATATACATATACATATACAAATACATAAACATATACATAGAAATAAACCAATAAAAATATATACATAATACCTATACAAATACATATACATAAACATAACAATACATATACATATATATATATATATATATATATATATAAATATATAAATATAATATATACATATACATATACAAAAACATAAATAAATATATACGATATACTATAACAAAACATAAACATACAAATATATACAATATACATAAACAAAAACATACATAAATATACATAAACATATACATATACATATATAAACATATAATATACCATATATATAATAAATACATATAAACATACATAAATCTATAAATATATATATACAAAAATAGTACATATATATAAATACATAAATACATATATACTAAATATACATATAAAATATATACATATATACTAAATACATACATTATAATAATATAATATCTATATATCTAATATACAATATATAAATAACCATAAATAACATATATAAATACATAAATACAAATATAAATATAAAAATAATATATAAAATATAATATATATATTAATATAAATATATATATATATAAATGATTATGAATTTATAAATATATATTATATATATAAATATATATAAAATATATATATATCCATATGTAAATGG